ACAGTTTCAAATCATCCATATAAAGAAGGTGAGATATAACTTGATCATCTTTCTGCAACCTATAGCCTAACCCTGAACCCTCTAATAAAGTGCTAAGAGGGTTCAAAGCCAGACAAAACCACAAGGGACTCAAACTATCACCTTGAAATATACCCCGCTCGATCTTTATTAGTACATCGTGTATCGCTGTCTGCCGACATCCTGGATAGCGAAGTGCCGTTCTCCATTGCCCCATACATGACTTCAAGAAAGTGCACAGAGTTGTATCAATTTTATACAACTCCAGCACCTTCAAAAGCCATGTGTGTGGAACCGAGTCATAAGCCTTCTTATAATCTATCCAACACGTCGCCAAACTCTTACGATTACAACGTACCTGTTGGCTAATGGTCATGTCTATGATAAGGAGGTCTTTAGTGCCACGGGTCCCACTTCTACATCCATTCTGAGAAACTGACATAATCGAATTATTATTAATATGTAAAGTAATTTTGAGTCTCAGAATAGATGTTAGAAGTTTATACATGGTAGGTAAACATGTAATAGGTCGAAAATTTTTGGGATCCATGACAGTACCAGACTTATAGAGTAAGTGGGTTATGCCAGTGGTTAAAAATTGGGGTAATGAACCCGAATCCAAAGCTGCCTGGAATTGAGATGCCAAACGCGCATGTGAGCTTCGGAACCACTTAAGCCAAAAGTTGTGCAGTCCGTCTGGACCAGGTGATTTCCAATTCGGTAATGAACGAACTGCACAACTTACATCATCTTTATCAATTTTAACAGGTTCCATAGGTGTTATAGACTCACATGAGCGTCTGACATCCTGCAACCAATCACCTTCTATATGAGTGACAGGCACCGACCAGATGTTACGCCAAAATGTATTTGTGACATTTTCATCTGGCAAATGCCTATCACCCACACATGGATCCGGTTCCTCCCATTTCCGGTACACCCACTTCTCATTTCTTTGGAACATCCGATTCTGATTATACCGATCTATTCGTTTTTTATACCGTCTTATCCTATTTGCCCATGCATAAATTTTCTGCTTTAGAAAGTCTATGCGCTCTGTGACACATGGCATGTACTGCTGAGGACTAATGGTAGTCCCCAAGAATGCCTGTTTCACAAAGCGCATCACTCTCGGCCGCATATTCCCTGATCGGTAGCTAATAAGCTTACCGATGAGTGTCCTGGTCTCAGTAATACGACGTTCAATTCTATACTGCCAAGCTGGTACAGTAGATTTAGGTCGAGTAGTAGTGACATTGTTAGCTATTTTAACACCAGCTACTCGACAAACTGCAATAGCCGCACAATATAGAATAGAATGTGTATCACTAAGATCTTCGCTATTATCTAAATATTCAGGCAATAACGAATCCAGGGCACCCACCAGCGCTAAATTTCGTTTATGAATGGGCAAACGGAATAACCGGGGCCTATCATTGCAATTTAAATATCGGTATTCCAGAATCGCATCCTCCAAAGCACTCCTTATCCTATCATTGTATTGGGTACTTACGGATATAACTTCACTCTCCACTAGTTCATCAATATCATCAGTATATGATGCCAACTGAGGTGTGCTGTTGGCTACCGAATCCACAGTGTGTGACGAAGAAGGGATAATTAAGCTATTCCGTATGTCAGAGCGTATCCTCTCAAGTACTGCATCATCCAGCAGATGACAGCGCTGTATAGCTCGTACTTGATCCGACAATCGTTGTGCTGATACGTTGACAGCTGGTTCAAGCTCCTGAAACAAAGAGACTAGTCGAACACGGTACGCAGTAAGGTTCGTTCCCACCTCTGTAGCCCGATAATATGCCCGCATGACATTTTCATTAATAGACTTTGTCCACTTCATGCGGCGCACATCACCACCGGTAGCGGGGACCCTGTTCGAGGTCAGTAATTATTATTATTATTATTATTAATACTCGTATATCGCCGAACGAACATAATTTGCACTTGGTAATGAATGAGATAAGCCGTGAGACAAACTATTGAATTATAATGAGTTATAATTATAATTCATGAATTTGACGATGATCGTTCCACCTTGAAATGTTATTTTTAGCAACGTATTTAAAAAAGTAATAGAAAATTAATTATTACAAGATAATGTCAGAGCCTTCGTTATAATCACTTTGGGCAGAAGACAAGACAAAGTGAGAACTGTCTGACCAAGAGGTAAACTTTTCTTTTCCAAAAGAAAAGAAAGACTTTTACACGTGCAAACCCTGATTGTCTGGTTTACATGACCGGAAGAAGATTAAACCACACGATGTCTCTGAGATCGTGTGACCCAAGGCTTTTTCGGAGTTAAGCAAAATAAAAATTGGTGAAAGTGATGGCTTGATAGGCCATTGCCTAATCAGTTTATTATAACCGGTGTTTTTTTTTCGGCACATCGTCGTTCATAAATATGTCAAAACTAATCTAATATTTGTTATGTGCTAAGACCATTAAGCAGGTCTTAGGAATTTGTCGACGTTACAAATAGTGATTGTAGTAGCCGTGTAAGATTGGTAAGCGGGAATGTAGGTGTCGAATGTTAACTTTTTCTTTTGGAATGTTATATCGTCATTCGCCAACATAGAATAATAGTGGCTACGCCACAGCCGTGTACAAAGGGCTTGCTCATCAAATATATCTTCAAGATTACCTACCAGTGGACATTTCGAATGTCGCGCAAAGATTTACACGCACGCAAGAAGATTGCACGCACACATTTGATACATATCATACCGAAAGCTTGTGAAAATCTATAGGTTTGTTATCGACCATGAAAGTGGCACCAAAGCTATTATCAGTCTTTTTGCCATGTATATTCGATCTCACATTCCTTTCTCCACAGTACATATGACAATATTGTAACAATTTGTAGTGTTTTATTTTTTATAATTATTGTTTTTTCTTCCTTTTTTTTTTGACATTAATTGATTATTTTGACAGTAGTTTGACTTTGAATATTTGACATTGTATGTATCACAATCTTTTTATAGTAATCAATGATGCTAATAATATACCTATAGGTTATTTTAAGTTATGTTTAAATTGTATGTGTTATATTATGTTTAAATGTTATGTTGTAATTATAAATGTACAAATTGAAAATTTGCACATTTAACAGTGGTAAAGCACAGTGAACCTTGTTTGTGAATTGAATACCATGTAATTAATACCTGTGTTATGCAAATAAACAATCTGAATCTGAATCAATTTAGCCCCAACCCCCCTCACCACCACAAATGCTGGCGAGCATTTATTCATTGAAATCTTACTCCAAAACACAAAACAGCAACTGCTTCTCGGTGTATATTATGGTTAGTGTACCCCTATGAAAGTACTCAACAACTTCTCTCTGAAGTAGCGCTGCAATAAACCATTTTTAACGCATTAAAAAAAAATGGCGTGAACAATATTTTCCATTCTTCACTAGTATACTTGCTTCTAGTAGTTCTGAGTAACAAGAGTAATGGCGATGGTTATTAAATAGTATCGACAGGTCCTAAAATCGACACTGCGCCATCAAAGTACCTACTCAACAACAACTTCTTTTTTAAATTAATGATATCTCCACTAAACTATCATATTAAAGATAAATAGTATGAAAAACATTTTTCATTTTTCACTATTAACTACTTGCTTGTGGTAGTTCTGAGTAGGTAACAAGAGTAATGACGACGACTATTATAGTATCGACAAAATCAAAGTTAACTGCGATGTTGTTTGTTGTTGCTAGGTGGGTAGGTTAGACGCTATTTAACAGTAAATCTAGTATTTTTTCAATTATTATGTAGGGAATGGTTGCTATAAATAATAAAATAATTACTATATTTACTGTTAAATAGGCGATAAATCTCCGGTCATTTACAGTATAATGTGATTTTGTACAATGCAGTGTTGCGAACCAGTAGATTTTCCACCAAAACTGGTGGTTTCGACCCCCCTTTTAGTGGCGAAATTTTGCCTTTAATGGCTAGGGGATTTTATGTATTTTAGTAGTAATAGTAAGATTGTAGAGGACTTAGGAAATCCAAAGTTGATAATATTGGGTCTGGGCAGACTAGCGATATAATTTAGGGTCCGACTATATGTTTAATGATTTGGTTGAAGTAGAAGTTGTAGTAGAAGAGAAATGAAGATTGATATCATTCAAACTAAAGAAACTCGTTCCGTTGATGTCTACCAATGGCGAACGAATTAAGGAACTTTCACATACTAGAGATATTGCTCCTCAGAGATGCCCAAGGGACCAAGGGCCTTCGACATTTGAGGAATTAACGACCCTTGGTATTAATCTCTTAAAACTGCCTCATTTCAGTGCCATGTTGAGTTGAGAGACTATAGGTATAAACAGAGGAAAATAATGAAGTTAAATCTTTTATCGGCTATGTTCAGAATACGCTGGTTTGAAGTTGGAAGGGAATGCTGCAACGAATATGAAATTCCAAGAAACGTTGTAAAACAAATCAGTACCAAATAATCGTATTAATCTGGAACCGACGATGATAGTGATGACAAAAACGATTAGTGTCAGTATTTTACACATAGCACAGGCTCTGTCTAGGTTGGAATCAGACTGCCGTGTGTGAAATATGTAAAGTTATTATTACAATTTAATTTTTTTTATGTTAGAGGGGGCAGACGAGCGGATGGGTCACCTGATGGAAAGTGACCATCTCCGCTCATGAACTTCTGCAAATCAGGAGTCACAAACGCTCTTTTCTTGAAGGTCGTATCGGTCCGCAGACGATAACCCGTTCCACAGGTTGGTTGTGCGGGGCAAAAAGTGTCTCGTAAAGCGCATAGTAGAATTAACCTTCTGGTGGTTTTTAAAGTTGAATCTGGTGGAGTGTACATTTAATTGTTGGCAACACTGGCCCGTCTACATCTACAATTTACAAACTGTCAAACATAAAATTGTTGTCAAGAGTTGTGTACTATTTAGTATTTACTATTATAGTATTCCTGAAACAATTATAATGCCAAAGGTGCGCCGCAGTCGTAAGTCCCCACCGGAAGGTTGGGAGCTCATCGAGCCTACACTAGAAGAATTAGAACAAAAAATGCGCGAAGGTATGATAACCTTACTTTTCATTAATATTACCAAGAACAACAAGTAAGTGATTTGCATTAATTTGAGACGATATTAATAGTTATTTATCTGTATATATTCTTTTATTTACAGCTGAGACCGAGCCTCATGAAGGTAAACGGAAGCAAGAGTCATTATGGCCCATTTTTAAAATTCATCATCAAAAATCTCGATACATTTACGATTTGTTCTACAGACGTAAAGCTATTAGCAGGGAGTTATATCAGTACTGTTTAGACGAAAAAATCGCTGATGCCAATCTCATTGCCAAATGGAAGAAAACGGGATATGAAAATTTGTGTTGTTTACGCTGCATACAGACAAGAGACACGAACTTTGCTACTAATTGTATATGCAGAGTGCCTAAGAGTAAGTTAGAAGAAGGTAGAATAGTAGAATGCGTTCACTGTGGGTGCAGAGGTTGCTCTGGATAAAGATATGTTCTTAATGTTTTTTTGTCTATATGTTTATTACTATTTTACTATAACAATACTGATAAAGTAATAAGTTTGTCCAACAATCTAAGCTGAAATATGCTTTATAAACCTGTTGAATGTAGGACTGAAAATGTGCATACACAAAGCTTGCGTTTATGTGCATACACAAAGCTTGTGTTTATTGTTAGCATATGGATGCACAACTTTCAAGTGACGAGTCAGTGCTACACATTAAATGATGTGATGTGATGAATTCTATATAATATGTATTAATTGTTAAGAAAGCTAAAAATTATAGTAATAACACTATCAGTCGTAACTCCGAGAACAGTAAAGAAATAAAAAAAATTCATAATTTTGTTAAAGTTCAGTAAACTTATAAGTTTAAGCTATACAAAACAGCAGCGTTTTGTTTGCATTTCCTTATCATCAAATCAATAATAGTATAAATAAATCTTTAGAAAGTGAAATATTTAATTATGAAAATGTATTTCATCAATTGTGTACTTCAGGGTGATGATTCAATTCACGGAAAATAAAACAATTGTGCAACATTTTGTATTTTTTTTTAATAATCATCTTATACTGTCATGAGATCACATCAACATTAACAGTTGTAGAAAAAAAAACTAAATAATAACGAAAAAGAATAACATTTGTTACTGTTTCTGAACATTTTTTACCCTAAAGGTATAATTTGGCTAAACGATTCCCTTCATAGTATTGAACCAGTTTTATCAAATCAACTGCATGTAATTTTTTTTTAAGGAAGTGTTTTTTTTTAAATAATAAAATTTAAAGAAATACTAATAATCAAATAGATCTTTCATTTTAGAAAGAATGACAAAATTCTATTAATCAACGAATGCTTGATAACTGCTCGTGAACAATATGCTTACGTACTTACTGCTTGTTGCGATACAAAGCAAAGGTGTTACTTATCAATCAAATTATTAATAAAACCTAAAGGGCTTCAGTCCAACACTTGAGACCCGGATAGGATAGGTTAAGATCACAACAAAAAAAATAAAATTTGAAAAATCAACATTATCATCTAACAGCATTAATATGATACTACCAACTGACCTGCTTTAGAAAGTTTTTTTAAACAACACCACTAGATACACAATATTTTTATCTTTTAAAAAGGCAAAACTTATGCAGTATTTATTTATAACTAAAGATCATTACAGACTTTCTGTAAGAGACCCTTAACAATATATATCAGTCTTTATTATTAACAATTATACTTAAATGGTAGTTAAGTTTTTGAGCACTGAATGTAAAAATATTTTGATTAAACCTCTTTCCTTACAATCATACACATAGTAGACTGTGTTAACAAATCAAAGGTTAGCTGTTTATTTCAAATATTTACAGTCTCTTAAATATAATGATATCAAACCATGACTGTTTTCTGATCTAATTCTTTAGACAATTCAATTATGAGATCTTTGTACATTAGTGGATTCATATTTTTGCCCAGTAAATATAGAATAAACCAGTCGCCGTATCCAAAACGCTTTACAATACGATGTATTATACCCCTTTTCACATATCTTAGCTGTCCAGCTATCATTAGTGCGCGCAGTGGACGTAGAGATAGCACTAGAATACGAAACAGCATTGCTAGTGTGGACACAAATGTTAAGATAATCAGCCAAAACCATAGTATTACGAAGATCTTTTCGTTGACTATGTTCAGGGGAAGAACGCAGAGGCGGTCCTTAATCTGCAAAGAGCCTGAAGGCCCATAGCTTCTTAACCAGCATTTCGTAAGTTTAGGAAAGAACTGGTCCATTGGGTTGACGCTTGCGAAGTCTATCATATCAGATGGTACGCGGGGGATATGCGTGAACGCTGCTACAGCTGCGCCATACTTCCGAAATGCTCCACCGAGAAATACGTCGAGAAGAAATATTTGCCCAACCTAGAAAACCATTTTTTTTAAATAACTTGCTTAAATAGATACAATTTTTCATCACATGACAATGTTCTTTTTCTTCCCATCATCACCGGCGTGTTCATTTGGGGTCAGCTTAATGTGTAATAATATTAGTACCGTTTCCAAGGGAGGCAAAAGCAAGTAATTAATTAATTTCATTGTTTTTAAACTTTTGCAATTTCATATGCATAGGTAAGTAACAGGTGATTGAATCACGGTAATATTAATAGAAAATTATACCAAACTTTGCATACATCTAGGACCACAATGAGAGCTTTGATCAATCCATATTATAAACAGAAAAGAAAGTTACAATATCACATACCACGTTGACAAGGTTGAGGAACTCACAGAACGCATATCTCAAGGCATACATATTGTGGGTATGTATATTGGTGTAGCTCAGATATGACACAAGCTCACCACGTCGGAACTCTGACCAATCCTTGGACACTATAGGACTACCTGAAAGTACAAATGTAAAAATTATTAATATCAATACAATAATTTTCAGCCAGCCATAGTGATAATTTAATCGCCTACAGAATTTAATTATTTTATTACAGATACAAATAATTTGCTGCTGTCAGAAAGCTTTTGGGTTTGATTCCCACCCAAGACAAGTACTACAAAAAATATGTGGTAAGTGTGATCATTTGCACCTACTTATGCAAAAAGGAACCAATACGAACACATGCCAAAATCGAGTTAAGTTTGCAGAAAACTTTCTAGTGTGAGTCATGCTTTTTCGCTGACGATGAAAAGTTCTTTGGTGATCCTATCATTCGATCAGGACAATTGCAATCAGATCTGGACAATTTACAAGAGAGGACCAAAGAGTGGATTGCGACACTCAAACTCAATGCATCCAATTGTACATGCTATACGACATGCATTCCAACACCTGACACCTTCAGTTTTCACCAAAATTTATAAAACTTATGTTAGGCCTCTGTTAAAATACGGTTTTCAAGTTTGGAATCTCAACCTTATGAAGGACGTTGACCTGCTGGTAAGTGTGCAAAAGCGAGCAACTAAGATGCCTTATGGATTGCGACACGAGATTTATGAGGAACGCTTATAGAGAGAGAATAGCTTTCTCCCGAACGAATCAAACTTCGCGAATTTTGAATGTACCTTAAACCTTCAATGGAGGCTCTATACACCAGTTGACTACCTTCAGGTTATGGAAACTTGTAAGAAGATAAATCCAATGCATGTACATAGGATGTAAAATGAAGATTTCTTGTTATAGCCGAAGTCAGAAAAGAATATAATTAGACAAGAATAGACATAGAGAAAGTTCCATGGCATGGCAATAAATTCAAGATTTACATGAAAAAAAATCTGTATGAAGATTTTATGGCGGATGACAAAAATAAATGTTCACGGATTGCCATATGCCATATTGCCCATATGTTTTAACAAAACCTCTTTGGCCAACAGCGAAACCTGTCCCTGAAAGAAACAGACACAGAAAGTCGCAAACCTGATTTCCGTAAATCAAAAATACTAACCGTTCCTTGTATGTTGATATGCTTGAAATGTACATGACATGTAAGGATATTACACGAGGAGGGAAGCTTTAAATACAAATTATACATTGAGACACAAAAACAGACTGAACTTACCCACATCCAGATTAAAAATGCATGCATCAAGCCCATATCATCCAGCATATATAATAAATTATCCAATAATATTAAAAATGATAAAAATAATAATATTTAATAATTTTAAATTAATACAAAAATGCTACTATCATATAAATAAATATCTAACCAACAAATTTGGTAATAAATATGTACTTATGTACATTACCAGTGTAGTTACTTGTCTAGTTTATATTCATTAATGTATTATTGTAATAACTTTCCATGGTTAGAGATTATAATTGGTCATGCGTTTCAAGTGATTATAATTTCTATACATTTGAAAAAAAGAGAAAAAAACTTGAAGTCAACCCTATATCGACCCGTCTAGCCAGTGTGGTATAGTAGGCCGAAACCTCCTCTCTAAGGAGATGCCTATGTCCAGCAGTGGACTCTTATAGGCTGTTGTTATTGATGATACATTTATATTCAATTAAATCTTTATAATAAAGCACTCCAGAAAGTTATAGAATGTTCTCATCTTTCCCCCTGTTCCCCTTCTTTTGTTTTATCTGTTTCCATTTCTTTCTCATGTTTCAGAAATACATACAAATAACATATTACTTGTTTATTTAATAACAATTACTAAATAATCACTAGCAGAGGGATTGAAAAATCTATCTAATTTGTATCTAAAGCAAAAAATAAAATATTCATACTCAGATCAGCAGCCAATGCCTTCAAGCGGCCTCCCTCCCAGATCTTCCATAAATACCTTGGTGTATAAAACATGACTGATTGACCCAGCAGAACAAAGCACACCCACTGGTAATAGGTGTGCTTAATCTGCTCATCATTTATTCCACTGCTTGGTCCCACTCCTGGATACGCCATATGCTTGCCTTCAATACCTGGAAGGATTTAGTTGTATTCATATGTACAAATTTAAATACAAAAAATTATATAGTTTAATATAGATAAGTATTGAAAAGATAAAGAAATGTTTGTGTTCAAGTATATCTCTGGCAGGTTTAGTTACAATTGGACTTAGTAGGTGGCGCTTTGTTGTGCCCATTGGTTTTATTGTCATCATCAATTAATTTGACTTAAAAAAATAGGAACTTGTATGTTCAGAGAACAACATCTGTCTGGTCTGCTAGAAGCATATCATTCTAATCCATTTTTATAAATTTGTCTAACATACAAGTTAAAAATTTGCATTTAGTAATAAAATCTATTATATTGAATTCTTTTTATGTAATGAGTTGTTTTTCATGAGATACCTGATGGGGTATCTCTAAACATATACTGTTCTATTTATAGATTTACAAAAAAATTCAGCATAATGTGAATTAAATTGTGAACATGGAAAGCCTTATAATATCACAAAAAAATATTGCTTTTTGTACACCTACTGTATGAATTTTATTCTTTTTCAAGGATTGTTAATGCTGCAAGTTTATAGTTAAGTTTTACGGTATATGCTGGCTGGCCATGCTGGTTTAAATTTTGGTAATGTGAGATATTGTTCAGTTAATAAGTGAGAATAAGCTATAGTTCTCAATCGTCTTAAGATAGAAAAATTTTAAGTTGCTATTTGAAAAATTTAGTACCTAACTAAAAATCTCGAAATGCATGTACATGAGTTTTTAAATAATAAGGGGCATATAATCGCTGTAGAAAATACACTTTTACAATGTCATAGCTTTTATATTCCAGGGTCAGAGGCGATCCTAATTGGTGGCACTGGTTTATAATTATTTGAAATATTTTGAAAATACTTACCAACAAACCTGCTCTTGAGCGTGTAAGTCCCATAAATCCAGCAGTAACTATTCACGGCGTCCTTATCGCTATCCTTGTCGGTGTCGCTCATACAGTGAATGGGCTCGCCAAAAAACTGTTTAGAAGTTACTAGCAACGTGAATACGAGCAGCATTATTACAGTCACCTTATAATGCATACGAAATACGTTGTTATCCGTACAGACATTTTCAAACTTAAGAAATGCCCTAAAGGGCATAAAAAGATCTATCATTTTAAATAATGATACTCTCTACGTTACTCACTACACTGCACGCAAATCTAATTTGAATATATTCGTATACCAACTACCCGCGTTAATCACAATTTTTCCATTCGCATAAATCTCAATGACAACAATTACTGACAATACAACTATCAAAGAAAATTGGAAATTGCACTATTGTTGTTACTTCCGTTTATATTTGATGCATTGACCGGAAATAAATAAAAAAGTTCGGACAAAGCAAAAAAAAAGCAAACGTCTTGGTAATACTGTTTTTAATTTCAGGTCATAATCTATACTTATAGTACAAATATGTGAAAGTGACTTTGTTTGTTTGTTATCTATCACGCCTAAACCACTAAACCGATTTTAAAATTTCTTTCTCCAATGGAAAGCTACATTATCAGCGATTAACATAGGCTATTTTTTACCGCGATAACCGACATACAAACAGGCGGAGCATGCAAAAGCCAGTGTTCTAATAAAGGTATGTTTTATGTCCTTTATTGACTGCATATTTGGAAAGTTTCTTGATGAAGAAGATCACATACTTAAAACTAATCACAGTACTTGGTGAACATTAACTGTGTGAAGACAAAATATAGAATGATAGAAAGAAAGATAGGTAAGTGGTTAAGGCGTGCAAACGTAACAAATAAACATACTTTCACAATTATAAATAAAGTTTTATGTTATGAGCAGTTGAGCAGACGGGTCGTAACAAAAAATTTTTTGGGCCATTTGTTTTTTATAATTAATAATACTTGGATCTCAATACTAGTACCATCTGGAAATAACAATATAACCAACTGAACCCATCAGGATTTATAAAAGAGGCGATATTTTACCCATCATATTAAGCTGTGTTCGATTTCAGTGAGTCCATAACATTCCATAGTTCGAAAATAGGGACAAAATATTGCTTGAGCCCATGGTGTTAACGATTGCGTGGATATTTTGCAGTGAGATGGGTGACGATAAAGTTTTAATAAAAACTCAAAGTATTATTTTCGTTTATTACGACTAAGAAAGAAGAATTCAAGAAGATTATAAAAATAAAGAAAAAGGTAAGATTTTTGACGAAATTGGGAACAAAGTTTAACAGCATATCTGTTAAACTTTGTTCCCTATTTCGTCAAAAATCTTGCCTTTTATTAAGTGTTTGTAATTTTGATTTCGTACTACAATAGATAGATAACCACCAAGAATAAAATTGCAGACATGTTCCTCTGTCGAAATTCAGAAGGGTGAATGAGCCAGCGAGCCAGACTATATCTCGTCCCGCGCGGAATATGCATCATTTTGAATAAACGTCAACGTCTGCATGTATTTGTCTCGCATTATTAAAATCAAATATAATATTACAGTAACTCAGTCAATTCCACTTTTTAATTATATACTGTAAGACAATACGACATTTTTGTGGGTAGAAATATTAGAACAGTAACTTCTTTTCAATTGACGTAGTGTAACTAATGAAACTTGTTGTAAGCATTTAGCTTTATTAAATAACTTTAGGCGTAGGAGAATACTATTGCACTTTCTAATACGTGCAGTTGTATATTATAAAGCTTTGTTATTAATAAATAATAAAAAATAATAAAAATAAAAATCGTTTTAGTTGGCAACACAAACTTTATTTGCATTTAGAATTACTCTCATCACATAAATATGTACATGAGAAACACAATCTTAACGTATTATAAACACAACAGGAATGTAAGTCGATAAATTATTACTTATAAATTAACTTTAGCATGTTTTAAATAAAATACATTTATACTTCGAGTGTTGAGCAGTTTATGACATGTTCTACTGTGGGATGCAGGCAACTGACAGCTCACACATTAGAAGTGTTTAATTTTTTTATGACATAGATAAGTGATTACCGAAACTCAAAAGTATTGAGTCCGTTGCCAGTCTTTGAAGTACTCTCACGCTCTTATCTTAAATGTTAAGCAATTATTGTTATGACTCTTTACCAAATTTGCTGTATAAAAACATTATTTAATACTATTTCAATTTTAAATATATTTTTTAATTCAAACATATCTCGCGAGAAGAGCGACACAACTTGAAATTTTTGGTGAAGTCAGTATACAACGAACAGAAATTAATTCGCTGACTGTAACAAATATTAATTGATGTAACATAGAGGGAGGAAAAATTAGGCAGGAACTAATATGTATATAACTTTGAAGAGTAGAGAAAATCCTAACTGGACGCGAAACGCGATGCTCTTAAGGCTAAACCACCACCAGCCATCTATTATAACTTTGCACATGCAGCCAATGCTTGCGCACGTTTATTCACAAGATTGAATACTATAGCCATAAAATGGCATATGTGGGAGCTGATCATCTTATCTCCTCTGCTAGTAATTAGTAGCAGTCATCATAGCCGAAATCAGCTGGGCAGGAAGACAAAGAATTACCCAACCAAAGACGAGAAATTGGTAAAGCATTTGTAGTTAAATTTGTTTCACCATAATTTATTTTTCTAACATAATATTAGAAGGCTTAAAAGATAATACTTAGTACGTGACAGAAATACGTTATATACTTTGCGAATTATCAGATTTTTTTTTAGGTACATTGACCTTATTTCCTAGACTTTCATCATTTAGTGATGATTGCCGAGGTATTTAGAAACATGAGAGCTAATTTAAAAACACTTTAAAAAGATAATCATCATACGCGATTGCGTTGCCATCCACCATTGCGATTAGAAATTAATTTCCCTATGCCATTTTTGGTCAGTACAAATAGTATACTTATATATATACTATAAATACTGACTGTATATATAGTATTGAAATTAATATTTGAAACGTGAGTATTAGGCAGTTTTTTACTACTTACTTACATAATGAAGTAGATATTTTACCTCTCTATTGAACTATCAGCAAAAGAATCATGATAGATAGGTATCCTTTTGGCGGTTCTTGATATGTAAGTAATATCTTATAAATATCTTAAATGCTTCTGCTTAACAAAAAGAAGGTACTGATATAGACCTATGGCTCACTATGACACTGTCCTATGATATAATTGGTTCTAGGTCTTTTCTTGTTCATTAATTTCTTCAAATATATCTGTCAATTAGATTTTTTGGAAATAGGGTAGCTCATACCACCTTGAATACATGTTCAACGGTCACAATAAGAGCCGCATGGCATTTCTTCTCTTAATAAAATAAAACATTGTTTGCAGAAGGCACTGTTCGGAAACATAGCGCTTACATAACATTCTTAATAATAATTTCATTATTATGTTAACTTACAGAGTACTATTAGCAGACAATAAACACCTTTAAAACAGAAATACATTACTCAATACTTTTATTCTTCGTTGAAAACTTTGTTTCGACTAATAAAGGTTTGGTTAGAATCGTGTTTATATATAATTGCTTTATTTTCATAAACAACGTTTATGAAAAAAAACAAGATAAAAACTCATTTATGTTGTAAAATTCTAAACCACATCTGTTTTTTTTCCTGTTCTTATATTGATGTTTACATTGTTACGGTACACGAATGAGCTTTTCATAGTTTTTAACTTCTAGCTTATATGTCTAATTTTTTATTAAGTAACAGTAATAAAAGTACAAAAACAGTCACAGCGATATATTCTAAAGCATTAGGTCTTTAAATCGGGGTGAGCTTATAGATAACTTTCCGCACAAACTTCGAAATAAAGCATAAAAACTTTATTGTTTAGTGCTTATGCATACATTGTTTGAGATTGTAGGCAGGAAAATAAAAAATAAACACTAACGTAAAATTAAAGTACCTGTCCCAGTAATTTTATTTTCAAACACTACATTCTTAGATTTTTAGATGAACACCCTTAAGGTGAAAGACAGATTTATCATTCTTAAACGAAAGTGCGAAAGAGAAACATTGTGACTGCCTAATGCAGAGTTTGTCCCTTATTAGTAGCGGTCAGTCAGTCACCCTAGTCAGTCACGAATCGACAAATCTTAAGATTTTATAATGACATTATTTACCTATCATATTGCTAATGATAAAGGAATTAAGGCGGAAAGTGCCAAGTTATAGAACAGTTGCCCATTTTCAAATTTCTTAATTCAATTTCCTTCCAGTTTATATTTAAACCGAAAAAAATATTAGTAGATTTTCTACTTGGAATTATAATTTACTTATCACTGTCTTGGTTTCGTTGGTCTGTTCTTCAAACGCCATGTTTGATAACGCGAATATGTTGTCTGGATCCAGTGTTTTTTTCGTAGAAAAAAGAAGTTCCCTACCAAGGTCGCTTACCGTATTTGTGTACCATTTTTTACGAAGTTTGCCGACACCGTGGTGATGTGAAATTGAACCTGAAAAAAAACAAACCATAGTAATAAAAAAAAATATTAGAATTATCCAGTGTTTTACTTGAACGTTTACGCTATTCGATTATTTTAAATGGTTCGTCAATTGACTAATTCTATAATCAAATTATTTGTCAGTGCTACAAATTATAATACATTAAAAACTTGAGAATTTTTGCTTACCACCGCAGGCAATAATCTCATCTCGTGCAGCCTCTTCAATTTCTTCGTAAGTTGTGACTGGATCAGGACATTTCGCAGTGTTGTGACCAAAGTAAAAATAAATGCAGCAGCCGGCATCATAGCTAAAAATATCCAAAAAAATAATAATTTAACCTTCCACATGAGTTTTATTCTTATAAACATTTTTAAAATTGAGTCTAATGTCAACTACTATTAATAATAAAAATGATAAGTTGGTTTGAGTAAGTTTCAAAAACTCAAAAAGTTCTGCACCTATGGTTCTTATCTATATTTTGTAATAATTTTGTTTCTCATTTCCATCATCAACGCAACATCTCCCACGGCGAAGTGTGGTAAGGTAAAGTTATTAATATATAAAAATCTTAAGTTTGCTTGTGTACGCTTCAAAAACAATGGAGTTTTTATGTACATATATTTAGGGTGAATTTTTTTATTTCGTTTCTCGCCAATGCAAATTCAATGTGCCACAGCGAAGGGTGGCAGGGTTCAGCTGGTTAATAATATACTTACGTCTGTGTGAGTCGATGTGATATGAGGAACTTGTCGATGCCTCTCTTGCGACACTCGTCCTCTATCCGTTTCTTCACGTTAGCGCAGAGTGCCAGAGTGCGGTCCCACGGTACGGAGGTCTCAAATGATTCCGCTACCACGTCATATTCCATGGCTACGTCCTGGCGAATGGCCAATGGTGTTAGAATAATTTTTATAACAGTTTGGTAATTTTGAAAATGGAAACGAAAAAAAAATAAATTTCCAACCAAACCTTTTCAAAGTTCCAGTCGAATAAATAAGTGGATTTTAACAAAAATTAGATAAAGCTGTTTTACACATATATATGTCTAAAGACTTCTATAGACAAAGACGGATCCATTTGGGAGAGAGAAGCTGGATCAGGGTCATGAACCTCAAGTGATGTGAAGTAGGTAGGTAATCAATTTAGAGCTTGTCGTGATACCTGGCTACACAAAAAATGACCCTAACATGAGTCAAAAGCATGATCTGCGCCTGTTTATAGAGAAAGTTTTCATACAGTTTTATTTCTGGCAACTTCGTATTCATTACTTACCCTAAGATAAGCGATTACAAAAGTGAGCGTATATCCATTCTCGCCGTTAGTGGCCCCCGCCGGGATCCCACCATACCAAGCAGCTATAGCGTTTAGCTTCTTCTCCCTGTCGGCGACCTGTTCCGAAGTCCCCTCCATCAGTAAAGTCACCACACATAGCTTGGTTGGGTCGAATCCCTTGATCTTGGTGATGTAGAGGCGTTTCAATCCATCTAGTAGTACTCCACCCCAGGTGCTTTCTGTCTTGAGCGCTTGGCCAAAGCGAAACTGTTATTTAAAAAAAAATTTAGGTCGTTACAATGAGTTTTCTTCCATTTTCTAATTGTGGAAAAAGGCTAGGAATGATTGATGATAGTACTGAAGCCCACCTGTTCATTGTCCATGAGCCGTATGCTGGAAGGCTGTAGACGTTGCCTGGCTACTTCCCGCTCGAAATAGAAGCCTGACTCCCAGTTGGGGAATACTAAAGACCCGTAACAGACAACTGGGGGCAGTGGACGAATTTTTATTACAACCTGAAATAAAAAAATTAAAGTTGGCGTAAATTTGTAGAAAAAGTATCTTTGAAGAGTTTTAGTTTCCCGGGTTGTAAATTGGCGCTCTAGTATCGTTTTTAACTGTTTGAGTAAATTATCAAACAATTTTAATAAGAAATCTGTTTGATTCGTTAGTATAGTCTATTCTCGTTAAGAAAGCCCCGCCCCCTGACCAATCAGGTTTCAAGCTTTCGCACGAAACGATAATTGTTTGGAACATGATTGGAAGGGGTCGGTGTTTGATCGATGCGTCATTATTTTCTTAACGCGAATGGACGTATAGGATGATTTATCGTTCTGCCGACACACAAGAAATCAATGTTTTCCTCTTACTTCTTCAGTATGTACCTACTGCCAGTAGAGGATTCGATCATGGGATCCCGGTCATATTTAGTTCCGAAATCTTCAGGATCAATTTTAATGAAACCCGGGATTTTCGGGATTGATTCATCGAGTGGTAGTAGTGGCTACTAGCCTCAATGAGATTCATTTATTGTTCAATGATTTTAGAAAAATAAGTTTCTTTATATGTTTCAGGAGTTAATGTTTTCACGCTTTTCTATTTCGTTCTGAAGCTTTTCTTTCAATGGTAAAATTTGGAGAAGACGAGAGAGAGAAGAGAAATTTAACGACGAAGACTTCGACTTCCATCGAGCCTGAACGCGCTTTAACAGTCCCTGCATATGAGAAGCATGCTTCGAGATGAGACGTTGGATTCTTTGTTATTACTTAGACTTTATTTTCCGGGTCCATTTAATTTAAATATATGAGTCTGAACTCTGATCTCTGTACCATTTAGTCTTTTTTATACTTTACTTAAATGAGTTTGAAAGTTTAATTTTTAGTTTTACAGATTATTTAGAGAAGTTCCTAGTTTATTTATTTTGGGGAGAAACGGGTGTCATAGATGCTAATCGGTGAGAGAATTCTTCGTATCGCGCCAGAGTATCAGCAATTCTCATTCAGTAGTTAGTTCGGTATGTCTTCGTTAGATGGCGCTGTAGTATGTTTCTGTTTCTTTGTATGTGGGAGTCGTCACAATTTTATAAGAAGTTTGAAGTATAATTTTGTTTAACCGGCTTAATCCCGGGATCCCGAGATTAACTGCAGATAATCGCAAAATGCTGGGATTAGATAGATGGTTCGGGATCGAATCCTCTAATCGCCAGCCACATTTATTTATATAATACGTTATTTTCTCGTCGAAAGTAAAGGTAGATTAGATAAATACTCCCAATGTTATGTGTGTATATTGGTATGTACCTCAGTGACCACACCAAAGCAGCCTTCAGAGCCCATGACGATATGCTCCCACTCTGGACCGCAAGAGATGCGTGGTACGCGACAACCCTTCTCTAGCACTCCGCGAGGTGTCACCACCTGTAAATATAATACCGACAACTATATTCAAAAGAGTTCCAAAAAAGTTATTTATGAATTAAACACTATTAATGGATACAGAGTAAGAATAATATTTATTAATGCCACTTATAGTATCTACTAGATATTTTTCCACATCTATACTATTAAATAAGATTGAAGTGTCTGTTTGTAATGTCAAAATAATAGGTTTTTTTTCATGCTCACACGGTTATTTGCATCTAATGCGATACCTATGCCTAAAAACCAGTTTTTCGTCTGTCTGTCTGTTTGTTCGGGTAATCTTCTAAACGGTTGGACCGATTTTGATAATATTTTACTGCCTGATAGTAGTCTATATAAGGAGTAACTTAGGCTATTTTCATCTCAGAAATCTCAGGACTGGGAATCGAATCCACTAAGGCAGCATTTTTCAAATTCCACGCCAACGAAATCGCAGGTACCAGCTAGTGACAAATAAAATACCTCTTCAGAAGTCAAGAGAGCGCCTTACAAAAAAGTGTTGGCAAAATTTTATGTCTATATGTAATTGTAAATGTAATTAAAATAATTAGGCGTGAAATTTATGGCTTGGGTATGGTTTAGGGTTTTATATTACAAGATATATAAAATACCTAGTAAGCAAAAAGGAAGATTGTAAAAATTAAAAAGGAATGGTGTTTTTTTAATTGTTTTTCAACCTTGTTTGTGGTAATCTTACGTTTATTACAACATTTGTTGTTTATTTTTAACTTACCTCATTAATAAGCAGTTGCCTGTGCAGGTGTCAGCCGTTATTTTTAGAGATTTTGTTTATTTCTTTTCGGAATAAGTGTGTTTACGTATACTTATATTTTTGAGCATTCAACTGTTTACAATTTTATTTAAGAGGATATTTCCATACAAAACAGATTAAATATACTATAACAGTGTGTAGTGGTTATGATATAACCGGCGATTCCTTTGGATTGTTATTAAGCAAGGATTGAATTTATTGAAGTGTATTAGTAATAAAGTCTCGCAAGAATTTGAAAAGCGTTGCCTTAGTGGTGTAGTGCGGTACGCGACTGCAGTCCATGAGGCCTCGGGTTCGATTTCCAGACCATGAAAAATATTATTCTGGTTTTTCTGAATAATAGCCTATAAATATAATGAAAAATAGCCTTAGTTACACCTTATATAGACAGCTACCTGGTAGTAAAATATAATTAAAATCAGTGTAGAAGTTGTGAAGATTAAAAGAAAAAACAAACAAACAGACAGACAAAAAATATTGAAACTGGCTTTTGGGCTTCGTGCAGTTAACCGAAATCAGCATGAAAAAAACCTTTTATTTTGACATTACAAACAGACACTTCAATTTTTTTAATAATATAGATGTATAAATCAACAAACCTTAACAAACACGTAACAACTGGTGTCGCAAGTGGATTTACTCCGAACAGTAAAAGTGTTTGACATACCTTAGTTTGGACAATGAGGTCCTCAATATTGCCGTATGTGTTCTTCTTCATACCACTTGCTCTGGTGGCAACCCAACCACCGAGTGTGGAAAATTCATAAGAGTCTGGCTCATGACCCACCGTGAATCCACGGGCTCGCATCTCTCGCTCTAAGTCTTGGCCTACGATGCCGGCCTGCGAAAACGCGAAGATTTTTTCAGGATAAGATTCGCATCATAGTAGTGATACTGACTTTGTCCTATTTTGTGTTCGACAAAGGTTGAGCGTCGGTTCTTATTTTGGCCTGTGAGGGCCTAATTAAGCAGCAGCAATGGACACGACTAAAGAAACGGTCTATGGATAAAGATAGCTAGTAAAATAAATATATGTAGATAATAATGCTAAGGTACAAGCAGCCTCCTTTAGGTAAAGAAGAGTGTAAACTTTTGTTAGAAAAACATGTAACTTCGTAGTATAAATAGCAATGTACCTCGGATCACCGAGATTTGCTCGGTATAATTTTTTTGGTATATTTTCTAAAAATGAAACATAGCTAGATTGATTAATCGCCCACGAAACCCCCTGCATATTAAATTTCATGAAAATCATTTCATCATTTCATGAAAATCATAATCATAAATACAAGAATTGCTCGTTTAAAGGTAGATAATAATTTAATCATAGTCCTACGAATAATAATTTAATTTTATTATTCGTAGTCATAGTCATAGAATAAAAATATAAATTCAAGAGAAAAAGCGTTGTGGCACTTTTGTCTTTTAAATATTTTTTTACATCCCAATTTAATTTGCAAAATCTTTTGAATAAATGCCGTTGGTAAAGATGAAAGGTTAGAAAAATTTGAATACAATAAGATAAAAATATCGGCATGACGGTGGAAAGCAATAATGAAAGGTTACATTAAAATTAATGTTTTAAAATAAACTGGTGGACTATGAAATTAAGCAACCCACCCAACACGTAGTTTAACTGACTGTGTTTTAATATAAAAACTTTTTTTTAAACTCTTTTATTGATTGTGTGTTAATTCTTGAATAAAATAACTTATTTTTAAAATAACCATCTTTATTTTTTTAGTAATACATAAGAAATATCAAAAATGAAGAAAAAAATTCTACAAGTTCACACTGATTTAGAATGGTTTGGCTGATGTCATTTTTATTTACTAAGAGGTATTGCCTCCTCTGGCTCTTGGCTTATGTGCCCATTCCTCCAATAAAGCCGCTTTCAGCTGTTGCATGTTCTCCAGAGCTGGTTCTCGCTGTCTTACTCGCCGTTTTAGCTCGTCCCATAAATGCTCTATTGGGTTCAGGTCTGACTTCGTGCTTGCCAGTCCAATACTTGTATTCCCACTTCTCGCAAGTAATCTCTCACGCACATCGCAGTGTGGCGCGCATTATCGTGCATGAATTTCAATTCTTAACCGATAAATCCTGAGTGTGGCACTACATGCTCTTCAAGAATGTTAGTGATGTACGATTCAGCAGTCACAGTTCCTCTTTCTACGATAACCAGCTCTGTATGAGCTTCTGAGCTTATACTTCCCCAGAACAAAACTGAACCACCTCCAAAGCTTACCCTTTCAGATATGTCACATTGTGCATATCGTTCTCCCGGTCTACGATGTACTCTTTTGCGACCATCAGTACCATATAGACACATACGGGACTCATCAAAGAAGAGTACTTGCTCCCAGTGTGACAATCTCCAGTCACGGTGTTTATGAGCAAAATTTAACCTTGCTACCTTGTGAGCTGTGGTAAGTTTAGGACCTGTTGCTGTATGGTTTTAAACTACGTTCTTTAAGGCCTTTTCTTATTGTCCTATCACTTAGAGCAACACCTCGGACATGTCTGAGCAGGTGCTGCAATTCTTCTCCAGAACGATGACCATATCTGAGGCTTGCTGACACTATAAATCGATGGTCCCGTTCAGATATCTTTCTTGTTCGTCCTGATCCAAGTTTTCTGATGTAACTACCCGTCTCCAGATACCTTTTGTAGACATATTGAACCGTTGATCGACTAACTTCACATTGTCGAGCGACATTACGCGGGCTCATTTCAGTTTGTAGTTATTTTGCGTAGATCCATGTTTATCATTAAAAAAAGAAAGTGGGAGGCACAGAACATAAATCAGTAATACGAATTTAACGATAGTTTTAAATAGCGTCCTAGCGACCGGACATTAACCGTAAAAGAATAAAAGTGTGGGTCTCTAAAAAACTGATTAAATGATATTTGACACATTTACACTTGATAATTTTATCAATATACTCTCTACTAAGATTGCAAATAAACGTTCAAAAACGTGTTATTTTTTCAAATTTTTAACCATACCGTAATTAATGAATAAATAATAAAATTAGAGGTGGCCTAATTTTTTTGTCCACCAGTGTACATTGTGTCAACACGAAAGGTCTTTGTCATTACCATGATATAATGTAGAATGTTTTTTGTTGTTGTAGGTACCTACATTTAATATATCATTTTTGCAGATTCAAAACTACTCAATTTACATGGGTTTACGTTAACTGCCTTTAAAGACTGAAACTGTCAATTAATAGTGCACGATAAATTTTCGGGTTTTTTAGCTTGGAATTTTTTCCGATCTGTGAACATCATCTTCATCAACAGCCTTTAGTAATCTGTGGATATAATCTAGCGTAACTTAGATTTGTGTGACAGGAACGGCAGTTTTGCGAAGCTAAGTTCAATTATTTTTTTTCAAAAAAATATTCAGATGTGAAGGTTTAACGATACTAAGGACAGAAATAAATTCGTTAAAGGGGTTCCAATTTTAACAACCCTTAAGTTCTTTGATTAATGTAGGCAAAGAGTACAAACAAACACTGTAATCATAAGCGTTCAGGATCTCACAAGTTTGATTTAAAGACAATCAGTAAATAAGCATCTTACCTGGACCCTAGCGAGTAGTTGCTCCTTATCCAGCCACAGTATCGAGTTCATGTCGCTGGTGTCCAACACGAGGATTGGTCTGGTTTCCTTGGCTGGGCAGGTAACGGAGCCAGACACTGAAGTACCACCGCCGAATGGAATGATCACGAACTTGTGTCGAGTTGCGCAAGACACAATTTGTTCCACCTGAAATATTCATGATTAAAAATACATTTTAAAAAATCTCTACACCTAGCTTAGCTGTTTAAAATTTTAAATTCTACAAGATGTAACAATAGCAGTGACGAGAGGAGACGAGACAAGATGCAATTGGTAACTTTTCATGTTAAAATTAGCTCTACTGACTTGTGACATGTTGAAATTACTCAAACCGATTTCGTCTATGAAATTGGGGGCTTTTTACTAAATTAATAAATTTAACTAAGTGCCTCACTCTAAAAATTGATCTGTATTTAAAATATATATGATCCTAAATGATATGAACTTATTGTACAGACAACAGGGTTGTACATTTTCAAAAAATTATTTACTTTAATGACATTAGACAATTTTCCTTAATGTAAAAAAGGGGGCTCTCACGAGTTAACCATTTGACGTTGCGTAGCGGTTGGACCAATTTGGCTCGTTTGGGTCTTGAAATATTTGTGTCTATGGAAAGTTTAAACGGTAAAAAAATTTGGACGAATTATAAATATCATGCGACGAAAATAGTAAAAACAATAATTTTATTGTCCCATACAAGTTGTTCCTACTTACTTGTCAAACATTTAATGTTACGACAGATTCGAATCGAACATAAAAATATATGCACCATAGATGCGGATTAGCGCGTATTAATATTTTAAAGTTGCAAAATATTGTCACTACGACAAAGGATCTACATATACCTTGGTTAGATAAATAAATGTAGGTACATGATACAAATTTACAAGAATGTGTGGTATCTCAAAATAGAACAAATAAGAAAGGCTCGAAAAAAAAAAGAAGTTTAGCCTAACTTCTAATTATATTTAAACTAAATATTAAATGCAGGAGTAGCTTCATTTGAGATTTATTGTATCAAAAACCTCACCTGTTTATGGCTCTCCGGCCATATTACCGCATCTGGAATCCTTGGGAAACTATTATTTCGCAACTGGGACATATCCTTTAAAGTTTGTCCGTGACACCTGATCAGTCTATCCATGCCGTCCACGCTCACCAGGGCAATTTTTTCCAATTCGGCCTGAATGTTTTTCGGTAGCCGGCTGTCTGGAAACTTGGTTGGCATCTTAGGAATCTTTGGCTCTCGGGTAGTATCCACACCCAATTTGTCTATAGCCCATTGCGCTAGAAATGGAAGAGTCTGCCCGCCAATAGAGTACCTGTAATAAAAACATTTAAATTTTAACCCAAAAATAATAGATTTTTTACCGACTTCAAAAAAAGGAGGAGGTTCTCAATTCGACTGTTTTTTTTTTTTTTTTATGTTTGTTAGCTCAGAACTTTTGACTAGGTGAACCGATTTCGATGATTCTTTTTTTATTTGAAAGCTGGTGCTTCGCGTGTGGTCCCATTTCAATTTGGTTTAGTTCTGATAATGGCATCCATGAGAAAACCATATAAGTCTTAAATTTGCATTTAGTATGTTCGCGACAAATAGACGAATAACTCAATTTCACGCAAACTGATTTCGATAATTCTTTTTTTATTGGAATGGATGTACTTTAAGGGTACTTTGATGAGAGTTTGGTTAGATTCTGATGATGGGATCCACGACAAAGTAACGGAACTCTTCAATTCTTAGGAGCAAATTAACGATACTCGGCTGAATCTTTTATGGGCTATCTGGATATTTGAGTCACCTACAGTAACGTCGTTATGGTCAAGTAATTGTCGTCATCAACAGCCTTTAATAAGCTACTGCTGGACATAGGCCTCTCCTTAGAAACGAGGTTTTGGCCTACTATACCACGCTGGCCAGACGCGTTGGTATAGGGTTTATTTCAAGTTTTCCTTCTCTTTGCAGTGCTGTTGTCCTGCGTAGTTTGCTCCCTCACTAGACTCTTACGACACCCATGTGATTAAAAGGGGTGGTGACATTCTGTATTCTTAATCAGTCATCACAGGGTAGATTGCCTCTGTTGAGATAGGCGTTTCTTCCTGACTCCCTTTGTTTCATTCAAACGGCTCATTCTCTCATTTGAGCAGCACGTTTATTAGGTCTACCCATATTCAGACAAATTAGTAAGTGTACTTCAGATTCACTAAAAAGCAAAAAATAAACAAAAAATTTTAACAAAAAAAACCGACTTCAAAAAACACTATTCCAAAACAAATTAATATGCACTAAAAAGGAAAAAAAATAAATGCCAAGGAAACACTACGATATACCTAGCAATAATAATACGAGAATACTTTAAGACTCGTCAACTCGCGCGTGCGACACAAGCACTTCTCACTTATAAGGTGTAGGTGACACCGACTTGGCTGACACCGACTGCAAAAATAACAATAATTGTAACTACATTATATTCATTTTATTTTACTTAGGAGAACTCAAATAAATATTTTGATCGTTGTTTGTTATTCACAGGCATATGTTAAATTAGATTTGAAATGGGTAGGTACCTACCTACCTTCTTGCGCGGTTAACACATAGATCGTACCTACATATAGATGAGTAGAAAAAGTAAGTTGATTATTAAGTTGTAGAAGAATATGCATTTATTTTTTTCCATTCCATAAATGCCATTCACGAATATACATATTTGATTGAGCGGCAATCGAACCCGCGAATATTTTACTACCAGGTAGCTGTCTATAAAAGTCGTAACTTAGGCTGTTTTCCTCTCGGAAAAACCGAACCGGTTCGGGAATCGAACCAAAGGCCTCATGGACTGCAGTCGCGTACAGTACTGCACCATTAAGGCATCGCTTTTCATTTTCGCGCGTATCAGCTAGTATTACAAATAAATAACACTCAGAAACATAACTAATAATCGTCCTCATCGTACAATTATTTGTCATGAGTGGCTTCCCACAAGTACTCGTAAGTCACATTTTAAAGTTTATGAGTATGATTATAAATATTAAATTATAATATATGTTTCTCAGCAGTATGATAGTAAATAAATATACATATAAATTACACTTTTAAATATATTTATGTACAGAAAAAAACAAAGTACATTTAAAGATATATAAAAATGTCTCATCGGTATCGCGTACACACAATACGTGCAGTATCGAGAAGAACTGCTTTATTATTCTCCTTCTTTTTCTTCTCGGTCGTGGTCACGTTGAGATGTCCACATCGGTGATGATGATGAAGAACCCTTAGCAACTCTGGAAAACGTGTTTCGTGCTTCTGAGTAATGATCTGCTAAGGCGGAGCTTCGGCCTCCTTCTATTCATGTGTCACTTGAGTTGCAAGTGTCATGGATGGCGGTAGTCACTTGTATTCGGGTGACCCGTCATCTCGTTTGCCATCATACCACAAAAAAATAATTTGTGACCAAAGTAACATGTTTGATGTCTTTCAGCATTGTTGTAAAACTATGTATGAATTTATTTTTAAACAATGGCCGATTGTTGAGTTTCCGCCTATCCTTGGGGCCTTACTGGACCAAAGTTGCAACCGACAGAGCGCAATGGAAGCAGTTTGAAGGGGCCTGTGTCAAAAGACACATCGAACTGAGGAACGTTTTATAACCGTATAGTTTCAACAGATTGTCAGTTCGGAATAAAGGGGCTTTTATTATTATATGTATGAATTTATTAAAAAAAAATGGCCGATTGTTGAGTTTCTTGAGTCATATCTTAAACAGGCCATACAGGACGAGGCTGTAAAGAATTTTTCGAAAATTAAATTGCAGAACAACTGATTATGAGTTATTTTTGAACACATGATCTAGGCCTTTCAATCCTCAGCATGTGTGAGTAGGACATAGTCAATTTCAAGATTATTAATAAGCATGGGTATCTGTCGACTTCGTATAGGTCACTGTTGCTCCCCCGTTGTTTTGCACAAAATTTGGATCAGAGACTCATCGCTATGCGAGTGTGGATTAGATGAAGGCAATTTAGACCACATTCTCTTTAGCTGCAGGAAAAATAACCCATCGTTTGACCTCTATGGGTATTCAAGAAACTTGAGGATTTCCACGCCTATTCATTTTTCTTCTCTCTTAACCAATTCATCTCCAGAACTCTTCCAAGCGCTGATGATCTTTATACGTTGTAATACCATCAAACTTTAAGCTCTTCTCCGTTAAATTTTATTTAACAACAACAAAAAGATCACATACAGTGCAGTGATGTCCTTCAGAGGTTACTTTTTTTCGCACTACGGTCCTACAAACACACGCACCTTCATTACACATTCGACTTGTCGACGTCGGCACTGTTTGCCATACACACAAGCGTGGGACAGCCATACTTCCGCATGCACATATGGGTCAGTTCGACCGGAGAGATACCACGGCCTCAAAGAAAACAGATGTTAAGCAATCCTTCCGTTGCTTTTCACTGAGTGGGTAAGGTTACCAGAGACCCAAACTCCCTTCCCTATAGTTCTGGAGAGGAGGAAGGCACTCAAAGGGTGGGAACTGAGTAGCAAGTGTTCTTTGCAGAGGTAGTCACTTACGATCAGGTGACCCGTCTGCTCAGCTTTATACTAAATCATTAAAAAATTATATCTGTTTTAAATTATTAAGTTGTAAAGTGAATTCAACCGACCTATAAATTACGGGAGGAGTTCTTATTGGGTATGTCCCTTATTATAGTGAACTTACTATTCTAAACTTTTATAATCTTAATATTCTTTTTAGATTGCTTCACCGTATCATTAAAAACCTCGAAATCGTATTATATATCTTTATCCTTTCATTTTTAGTTGAATGTTAGCGTGAACTGCGTCCGCAGATAATATTAGATATAATTGTGTGCGCCTCCTTGTTAGATAGTTCCTGGAGATCGTCTCGTATTATAACATTTGTTGGGTTATTCACTCTCTTAGGCAAGACTGTATAAATTGTCCAATTCTTATTTTAGGCTGTAATCCACTTTTTTTGATATAGTAATAGGTTACTACACTACACTTACTAGGTTTCATGATGTAAAAATATCTGTTATTTATAAGATATTTATGGAAGTTCGAAATATGCACAAAAAGTGATATCAGAAAAAATGTCCCTTAGTGGGTTTTGATCTGGGGCAGCCGAGCAGCAGCGCGCCCCCCACCACTGACTAAATCGACTTTTTCCGTATTTTCTACGTTGTAGAGGAAGTCTCGACGAACAAAAGCGATTTCTTTTAAAAAAATTCATTGTTGTCCTTAAATTTTTTAGAGCCATTCTCCCAAAGGCCTTTTTTTGTAGTTTTTTTTTAAAGTTTAAAGCAGATTATGCTGAAATTTTGTGAGCTAACTGAAGGCTACAAAACCAACATTCTCACCAAACTCAGGGTCTTAATAATAATTATAACGTGAGTTAAAAAAACGCACGCAAAAAAACTATTCAACCAATCGGGACTCTACAAGTTTCACGCGCAATAATTTGTTACGTTAAATTTTAGTTCCATTTATTATTTGAATATATTGTTGATTTCCTGCTTGTTTACTGTTACCTTAGGATAATATTTTCATTAAAAAACTGTTTAAAAAAGGTGTATGTAACATTTTATTTCCAATTTTTTTTTTCTCTTTAGTTTTTTTTAGGGACTTTATACATTCGTACATGTCAGTCCCATCGTACCTCATACAGATTGTTACATTACCATTTAATTAAATTTAAATAAACCTTAGTAATACGAACTTACAAAGGCTAGAGGCGGCTTTTGAAGTCGGCGCAGATAATATGTGGTGGAACATACCAACATTATTACTATTTATATTTAACTCTTTCATCAGATGTTCCCTTTCAGATTGAAATCTGACACACTCCGTCAATAAGTGTGACACATCCTCAAAAGTACCACAAACCTCACAGATTTTTTTCATCAAGAATCCAAACCCATTGAGAGGAATGTGTCCAGATCTCAACCTGTGGGCGATTACAGTGATTTTTCTATTGATTCCGGTGTTGGAAAACCATGGTATATGAGGAGGCTCCGATACTATAGTCTTATACCATATTCCCTTTTCTCTCGAATTCTGATTATATTAGGTCTTTACCAATGAAATTGCCGTTTTGTATGCAATAAGTGAAAGTACTTATTTTTTTTAACTTTTTTATTTCTGTTATTCGAAGTAATCACCCATGCAATCGACGCATCTTTGCCAACGCATTGGCAGTTGGCAATGGTAAACACCTATTAATACTCTTTCCAAATTTCATGACACTTTTTTTTATATTTAGGTAATAATTCTTCATAATTAATTTTG